ATCTCCGTTCGTTGCACGTTTGTCTCACCAGTGACGTTTGGTTGCCATAGATACAGTATATCAACCCAGTCACACTAAATGCGTCTCGCACGCAGTGTGTTTATCATGCAACTCATACGCGAAAATTAGTTTTTACGTGCATAAACGCACCGTGTGTAATATATGTTTGCTTTGGTTAGGATTATGGCAAGCCAAGAGGTTCAGAATTACACCATAAATGAATCGCGTTTACTGCCAAACATAGTTATTAACATATAGTAAGGATAAGCATGATATTGCCTAATTGCAAGCTTGTTTCAGAAATGGTGACATTTTTTCCCATCATTATTGAACATCATTATAGGAGTAGGCTATTAGGTTGAATGAGTTAGAATTAAATGTTTTATTAATCATTAGAAAATAGACATTAAGATAATACATTGTTATGCAAGTACTTTTACTTTTAATACTTAAAGTACATTTAAAATAAAGTACTTTTTACTTTTTACTTAAGTATGGTTGTCATTGTGTTACTTCTACTTTTACTAAAGTAAATATTTATCTGGGTATTTGTACTTTTACTTAAGTACTGAGATTCAGTACTTCCTCCACCACTGTTGGCAGACGTGGTAAAAGTTAATTTTGGACCAAAGAGGAATAAAGAAAATGGCAAAACAATGAGAAATAAAACCTGCTAACTGCAGGCACAAGAGACAGGCACTTGCAAACAAAGTGCTTATTGACTGGCGTCCTTGAGTAAGTACCGGATACACAAGCGCAGTCATTGGCGGAGCTACAGACACGACTATTGCTCAGGAATGTGAAGTCATTAAAATAAGACCAACAGAAACAAATGAATGGGCGGCTTAATGAACGTAGAGGTGCTGGGAGGAGAAAAGACTGAAAGAAGCAGTGCTCAACCATCAAACCATCAGTCTCTCCTGCTCGATGCTGTGATAACCCTCCCATAAATCTCAGTGTAAATACCCACTGTCTCTCCAGCCAATGCAATCTGTCTCTCTCTCTGAAGCTCACATCTCTCACACACACACACTATCACAGCCATACAGTTCTCTCGCCTTGCACCCACGCAACTCTTTTACATAAATCAAACAGTGTATTTATCCATCTCTCTGCCTCTCTCTTTTTTATGAGAGCATTTTCCTTCCCCTCACCTTTCACATCCATTCTATTCTCTGCGCTTTCAATCTCATCAGTTTTTTCGGTCTCTTCGCGGTCCTGAACGTCAGACCTCAAATCTCAAAATCGCTCCTCCTGATCCCTCTTCTGGTGCACAGCCTCAACTCCGCTGATGTTACAGTTCTTATTATGTAATATGTCCATTAAAGTCAAGTATATTTTACATATCGATTCATCTGAGGCCTCAGTTCTTGGTCATACTGTATGCCATCTTAAACTGTTTCTTGTTCAGAATCGGTCATTTGTTTCCCGTTTTTTTTTTTTTTTTTTTTTTTTTTTTAAATACGGAACTGAATCATTTTCATGACTTTTGGCTCCACTACCAGTTTTTTGTATGCCAAATGGGGACAGAAAACCATAAACAAAAATAGAAGCAATAGAGCCGTTGTCATGACAAAATCAGCTAGAATCTTCTTGTGAATAACCGATCAGCTTTCGAGTGTGATTCTTGTTCAAGATATGGATTTCTGAACTCAACAGACCATAACAAATCAAAATGAAGTCTTTTACGCTCACCAAGGCTGCATTTGATCAATATGCAGTAAAAACAGTAATGATGTGACATATTAATACCATTTAAAATAACTGGTCTATTTTTTTAAAATAGAATTAATTTATGTGATGCAAAGCTGAATCTTTAGCATTATAACTCCAGTCTTCAGTGTCATGTGATCTTTCTAATATATATATAAGAAACAATTTGAAACAACAGTTGTGTGCTTAATATTTTGTGGATATTTTCTGTAAACTGTGATACATTTTTTTTGACTTTTTGATTAATAGAAACTTAAAAAGAACAGGATTTATTTGAATTAGAATTTTTTTGTAACATTATAAATGCCTTTACTTTGCTAGTAAACTAAAGTATTAACTTCTTACAAAAAAAAAAAAAAAAACTTATACTGACCCTGAACTTTTTAACAGTGGTGTATATACACGAACAGACACAGATACATATTACTTTAAGTTTATTTAACCCCAAAACCGTATTCTGGACAAATGTGGGCAAAATAGTTTTGATTATTTTTTAAAAATACTTCCCTTGATCTGAGCGGTACAAGACTTGGCTACTTTTCCTAAGTTTGCCTCCTGAACACACACTTTTTTTTTTTTTACTCAATTCTACAATGTTAAGTGGGTGAAATAAAAAACTCCGTATTTGAGTCAAAAATGGGCACCCATAGAAATGAATGGGAAAAACTGTAATTCTAATATAAGCCAAAATAAGACACCAGGTGATAGCAAAGTCACTTCATCTTGAGGTTTTAGCTCTTTTATATATTTATAGAAATATTTATATATTTACTTTTATATATTTAAAAGTACTTTATTCATGCAACGAAAAGCTGAATTTTCAACATAATTAATGTTGTCTTCGGAATCAAATGATCCTTCAGAAATGTCTTATTATTATCAATGTTGAAAACTGTTTTTTTTTTTTTCAGGATCCTTTGATAAATAAAAAGTTAACCAAAAGAACAGCATCAATTTGAAATATAAATCTTTTGTATCACTTGTACATGTCTTCATTGTCACTTTTGATCAATCGAATGCATCCTTGCTGAATAAATCTTAGTGTCCCCAAACTTTTGAATGGTAGTGTGTATGAATATAGTGGTCATTCAGTACTATGGTTTAGCATGGTACCATCAAAGCAATGTTCTGAAAGGATAAAAAACAATCAATGCAATGCAACTGTTAATTGCAAAATGAATCGTCATATGGCACAAAAATAAACTATAAATAACTTTAATGTGTCCGAGATGGAGAGAGAGCATTAAAAACACGATATAAATGTTCACCCTTCTAAACGCCCTTCACGAACCACAGAACTTAATGGACTGAACCTGATCGCAGGCCAGAGGTCACTATTCCTTTTAATTATGCCAAACTGAAAGCCAAAGTAAAGCTGGCTCGATACATCCATTTATTTCAATTTCTCCCTCTGTCCCTTTGATCCAAATCCAGGCTCTTTATTTGGTTGCCATGGCAACATTTTCTAGTACCTTACATTTGACTAACATGATGAAACACTGAAGTGATGGAACACAGACGTGTGAACATATGAACAAGGCTGTCGGACGAGAAGTGATGAAGTTCAAACGGGCACCGTCTCTTATCAAACACAATGATCGCTAAAATAAGCCTGTGTTCTGCAACTTGAGGATAAAAGGAGATATTTTCCATCACACAATAATAATGGAAGGGGAAAAAAGCTGGACTTCCAGCATAGGTGTGTACAAGTATGTGTGGGTGTGTGTGTGTGTGCACTTTTTATTCTCAATGTAAATCTGATGTCAAGCTGAAAGCCGGAGCTGAAGTGTGTGGGTGGAAAAAGCTTCAAGCTTCAGTCCCTTTGAGGGAGACAGAACGGAAGAGAGAGAGAGAGAGAGAGAGAGAGGAGGGGGAGCAAACATGATAAAAAGTGAAACTAATGAAAAAAACTAATGCTCAGCTTTTGATTGATATGCGTGGGGTTGCAAGTGGATCGATTTTTACACCTATATTGGATTTGTAATGGTGTACGGCGCTTGAATAAAACAAAGAAGAAATGAAAAAATATTATTTACAAATTAAGCCTTATTGAGTATTGTTCTTAAAAGTGAAGTTTGTAATCTGTCTCCTATCCCAGCTCAGACTAATTCGGTTACACTTTATTTTAAGTTGCTCTTGTTACATTGTAAATTATACATTTAAGTACCGAGTAAAAGAAATTAAGAACATGTATTAGTATATAATTAGGGTTAGGGTTTGGTTTAGTTGCATGTAATTACCGTTATTACTATAGCAAGTACATGTATAAAACAAGGACACTGTAAAATAAAGTGTTACCACAAATTCTATTATTAACATTTGAATAGCCGTCAATAGAGGTTCACTGTTAGACCTTACCAGGTTTTTTACAGTAAAATACTGGCAACACTGTTGCCAGTAATTTACTGTAAAAATGCACTAAAACTCAAGTTAACTAAAAAATACAACTTATTAGTTTTCGTGCATTTTTACAGTAAATTACTGGCAACAGTGTTGCCAGTATTTTACTGTAAAAAACCTGGTAAGGTCTAACAGTGTTGTGTAGTTACAGAATCTACCAGGAGGGGGCTAAAGGAGTCAGAGAGAAACAATAACACCGGCTCAACCACTTGTGTGAGTTTGGGGCGTGGTTATCTGTGTGTTTGACGTATGGGAGTGTTTGGGAAACCTGTTTGACTGTCATTATTCGTCCAATTCGTTTGGTGCCTCTGGCACAGAAATCACACACTTATCTTTATTAAAGCAATGTAAGAAGATTTAGAGAAGCTGCAAAAGAAAAAAAAAGAAAGAAAGTGATGCCTGCAAATCCTGGAGACAAAATACCAAAGGACTTCTGTGCGATGCTTTCTTCTATTGTCATTTTCAAGGTTTTTTTCTCCTGCAGCAGTGGGTGTTTTTAACACTCTTTTCATAAAAGCATCACGAAACAACCTTCCAAAAAGCTCCACGGACTAGAAATACATTTTTTAAGACTTTTTTGAAATATAGTCGATATTCCTCAATCAAATGACTAGACCAATGCAGTATTACATATTGTCAAAACGAACATTTAAAATTTCAGAAGCACAAAAACGACGAGGACTGATTTATGATGCAATTCACTTAAAATATCGAAACGTTTTTGCAAAAGCAATAATAATCACATTTAAAGAACTTGTTACGCCGTGCATGTTGAAATTCATTCAAAAGACCAGTTCAATGATGCAACCTTGTGTTGTTCACAAAATGCGAGAACCGGTTTAGATACTAAATCAAATGACTGTGATATGCATATTATTCCTACTTACAGCAGAAATGCAACTGTAAGGGGGGCGGTACAATCCCTTAATCCTCCTTAATTATTCCCGTCCAGGATCCAGAAGTAATCTCAAGCCACCAAGAAAGACAAATTGTCCAAACTGTCCTTCTCCAATCATATTCCAGTCTTGATTTCTTTTAAGTCACTCGTTTCTGCTTCACTTGAGAACGATTGCTTTCCCTTAGCAGGTCAAGTGTTCCTCTAAAGGTCAACAGAAGGGTGGATTCCCACACCATGTTTGGCGGTAATCATGCGTCTATATGCGCTCTTCTCTCAAATCTGGCTTCGGCGACTTTTTGACCATTAAATAGATCTAGAAAAACTTCCATTCTTGCTTTCCCCAAGTAATCCTACATGCATTAACGAACATCTCCGCATGTCATGTTCACTTGTGAAGTTCAACGCTGCCATAATACTTCTCTTTAAACTAAAAACAGCCATTAACTTGAATTATTGCAATCAAATGTACGCTAAATATGATAGTTTAACACACGTATTTCACTTATACTATATTTTGATATCCATTTACCTAAGAATTGTTATTATTAAAAATGTCAATATTTACAATCAAGAATTTGAACTCTATAACTGTTAGAATTGTTGTGTCTCATTCCTCCACCTCGTCTCAGTCACTCTCTCCAGCCCTGACAGCGGCTGTTCCTGCCAGATAGAGAGCTCCGGGTCCCGGGGACGCTCACCGGCGCCTTCAAGCACGACCCTGAACCGACGAGCCGTTTCCCTTCTGCCTTTACTACGGTTACCAACACCAGATCTGCGGCGAAACTCTCTCATGTTTTACTTCAGCTATAATTATAGGCGTCGTTTAGCGTTGCAATCGAGCTATCAACGTTTAAAACGCTCTAAGCGACAACTTTTCAGAGCATGCGTGCACATGACTAAGGCGTTTATTCTAAGCTTACACTTTCATAGACGGTAAAACACTGGCATCTGATGCAAACTTGTGTGTGTGTGTGTGCGTGTGTGACGGAGCCAGACTTCTCCGCAGCTCCGTGCCAGTGACAATGATGCGTAAATCCTCCAAGCGTACAAACTTCAGACGTTTATTCTCGCACAAAACCGATGCATTTAGCGATGAATGGTGAAGATTCAGACGGATGGGTCATTTGCACGAGCAATCCCAAAATGACATCGGAAATCCTTTGCATGCGGAAAGGCTTGCTGTATTCCGGAAAATGTTTGCTTGTTTCCAGTCACACACGCAGGAATATCAGCAGCAAGGCGACGCATCCTTTCCTGCGGTTGTCCTTTTCTTTACTGCGCTCTCACTCACTCGAGGAGGCGAGAGGAGAGAAGAGGGGCTGAGCTGGACAGGGGGGTGGGGGAGAGATGGGATTTGATGGAGAGAACTTCATGTAAAAGCCTGGGGCAAACTCTCTCTCCCTCTCTCTCTCACACACACACACAGCTCGTGTGTGCATGTGTGTGTGTGATGCTTTCAGGCAGCCGGTGAGTGGAGAGGCTTGTGTAGAGGCAGGTTATGTGGGAGGAATGTGTGTAATTACACAACTACACAAACTGAAGACGAATGACAATGTAGATTAAACTCTGAGAGCGCACGTATACCGTACAGAGAGACGCTGCGAGCTGCATGTTAGCTTTCGCTGTATTAATTCTATTGTATAACTAGCATAGATTTTTACATTTGATTTGGGGCACAGGGGTGGTATGCGTGGTTGTGTGCTCTGGTTATGTGTTTGCTACGGCATTTTGAGTGGTGATGCTATGCGGTTGCTAGGGTGTGCTGACTGGTTGCCGGGGGGTTCATTACTGGCAAAAAGAGCTCACCTTCAAGTTTCTATGATATTCTGCCTGTCTGAAAGTCTGATTGCTTAGAAGAGTGATAGTACAGCAATCATAAAAGGGATTGTTCACCGCTAAGAAAAAAAAATCGATTCTGTCATCATTTACTAACCATGTCTTTTGACTTTATTTGGATGGACTGTCTTTAATATACTGTATACAGTTAATTTTTTATGTATATGTTAATTAATATGTATTTATTTACAGAAAATTATATATATAGTGTTATATTAAAAATATATAACTGTCTCTCTGTACAGTACATGCACTCTCAGAATTTAATATATATATACATATAAAATGTATATTTTGTGTGTATGTATATATATATATATTTTTTTTTATTATTTATTTATTTATTTTTTTGTCAGGTATATTCTGTCATTAGTTTCATGTTCATTCATGTTCATAGCTGATGTTTTTTTGCCATCATTAGTTGCTATGGAAATGCATTTGATCATCCCAGTCTTTTAGCTCGTTATCTGTGTGTATTTAAGTTCCTTGTTTCTCTGCCTTGGTTGTTGGTTAATGTTTGTGATAGTGTTTGAACTAGAACACACTGTGACACTACCTGTGGACTATCTGAGTTTGTTTTATTAAAATACCTTTATTTTTTAAATCTTCTTAATTTAGATTTTAGATTGTATATCTAAAAAAAATCTTTAGATTTTTTTAGATTTTATATCTAAAATCTTAATAGATTTTATACACAGCATTTGGGACAGATTTACTATGTGTATATAAAATGAATATGTACTGTATTAAAAATGTATACATATTAAAATGTAATTTATTCCTGTGATGTCAAAGCTGAATTTTCAGCATCGTTACTCCTTCAGATCCTTCAGAAATCATGCTAATATGCTGATTTGCTGCTCAAGAAACATTTCTTAATATTATCGATTTCGAAAGCTTTAATATTTTTTGTGGAATCATGATAAATTGTTTCAAGATTCCTTGATGAATAGAACGTGAAAAAAATAATATTGAATTATACATCTTTTGTGACATTATGATTGTCTTTACTGCGCAATTTTGAGCAATTTAATGCACCCTTGCCAAATAAAAGTATTAATTTCTTTCAAGAAAAAAATCGTACTGATCCCAAACTTTTGAATGTTAGTTTGTATATTATATAGTTCTTTCTAGCACTAAATGCCATAAGACTTCATTATTAATGGGTTCTTTAAAGGACAAGTTTGATATTTTACAGTTAAAGCCCTGTATCAAGATTAGGGTTGAGTATCGAGAATCGAGTATCGATTGGAACCGGGACTAACTTTTCATTTTTCCCGGAATCGTTCAAAAGTTAAAATTTCGATTCCTAGTTTCGATATTCACAGTCCGCCGACCGAAAGAAGAAACCCCTGAACAACACCAACGAAGAAGCGTCTACCGGAAGTGTTGGCAGAACCGCGCGAGTCGAACATGAGTAGCTTACGTCGGCGGCCCAAAGTGTGGCTTCACTTTTCTAAAAATAACGAAATCTCGGCAAAATGCTAAATTTGTGACAAAAGGAGTATTTGTGACAGAAGGAGTATTTCCTTCAGAAAGACCGTTGGTTAGCAAGGTTAGCTAAACTTTTTTGACCCTGCCTCTTAAAAGAATCGGAATCGAGAATCGTTGGGAACCAGAATCGAAACAAGGAATCAGAATCGGAATCAGAATCGTTCAAATTCAAACGATACCCAACCCTAATCAAGATCGTTTCTGATGAAACAGAAGGGTTAATGGACACATGCTACTTTCCCGAGAATTTTCGGTTTCTGTGGACAAAAACCACGCTAAAACCCGTTGGAAAGCATCTTTTGCAGCGATTTTTGTGTGAGCATATCAGTGAACACCCCAGACCACTCGGTGAGTTTTACGTCTTTGTAAACTAAAGTTTAATCCGTTTTAGGAAGGATTGTTCCTGTGCACCTATGCAATCATTGTGGTGGTGGTGGGGGAGTGCAACCACAGAAACCGAAAAATCTCAGGATTTGTCCAAATGTGTACTCGTGTAACTGTATTTAAACAGGGAAAACGTGGAGGTGTTTGGTCGCTTCTCTGCTTGGCCCATATTGAATGAACTGGGCTAGTTAAGCGCTATCAAAGTGTCTCGCGTGCCAGAGTGATTGAGTGCACACACTGAGACGAGAGAGGTATGCATCAACTCCTCTTAGTTAAGGGAAAAACATGGAAAAACGGTGGAGTATCCCTTTAAAACAGGGCTTTAAGTGTAAAATACCGAACTTGTCCTATAACAAATCACACCCACATTGCATCAAAAATAAATAAAAAAGCATGTTTTTAATCAAGAATGGTCATTTTCAGACAAAGTGCTGTGTAAATGATCAGCGTGTTATAGAGATGTGAGTTTCCATGACGACTGCAAGCCCAAACCCAGCCTGCAAGCACTAAAGTTGAACCATTGAGACAAGGCCGAGCTGGACACATTTCCAGCGGAGAGGCGTCTTAATGCTCACAAAGACAGCTGACACACACATCATCCCTCCTGATGATTGGATATCCACCTCAAGAACAACCTCAAGACACGGCTAATGTACGTACATCCCTCATTCAAGAGCCTGACCATAAGCTCATTTAATAAAAAGAACACTATACGTAATCAAAGACTATTTAAAATCCGTCTGCCTTGCCGAGAGTTTTATTAAAACTTAGAAACCAAGATTTACGATCCAAAGATGCACTCTTCTTTCTCTCCCTCTTCTAATTCCTCCCCTCTCTCTTTCATTTTTCTTTTCTCTCTAGCAGTCAGTCTGCTCTATAATTATTTCCATGGTTACCATCAGCGATCTTAGGCTAAGCTCAATGTACAAATGTCTCTTTTCTCTTTCACATTTTCTTTCAGCTCCTCAATTTGCCTGACTGTGTTCGTTAGCATACAATTACTCCCTTCTGAGATTTTTCCTCTTTTAAAGAACCAGCTCATGGCCAAGACAAATCAGAGAGGCCATCTTTTCTGTCTCCTCATTGTTTCCCACTGACAGCGAGGAGATCAAACAGAGAACAAATAGAGACTTTGCTGAGCCTTTTGCATTTTCCCCATGCAATGGAAGTCAATGGGGCTCATCAACTGTCTGGTTAACGACATTCTTCAGAATATCTTCTTTAGTGTTCAGCAGAAGAAATAAATTCATACAGGTTTGGAACAACATATCGCTTTAACCCTACCCAATTGAGTGCAACAGTGCCCGCCCCCTTTTTCAGTGGCGCTAGCCAATATGCTAGTAATATGCACGCTAATAAGCAGCTAGTTAATAGTGTTTCCAAACTAAGGTGTTAACATTTCCCATCAGTTTCTACCTAGTTTGGACAGCTATTTTGTCTCAGGGTGATTAAAATAAAGATAAAGATAAAAAATATAATATTATAATATTATATTAGTTTGTCATCAATATGCTCTACTAAATTACTCTTAATTTCTAAGATTTTAAGAGGAAATTCAATAAATTTAAAGAAAATATCTTAGACCAAGTGGATTCATAACTGAGGACTTAAATAAGTCTTCTTTTGCTTTGCAAGAGCAACTTCTGTTCTAAACAATACAAACTATTGCATCAGGCCTTGTTCATGTAATACAATCATGTGATGTTTAAAAATATCAGTGTTTCTCCAGGTTTGATTTGAGATCATTTCTTGTATTGGTGGAATCCTGGTAACCATCAGAAGAGAGTGTAACAGAGAACTCAACATCACCACAGAATACAGAATGAATAACGGTTCCACCCACCTCCCACAGATTCACCACCTACTGGGATCAACACCAAACAGCAGCCGGGCAAGACTAACAAACACCGACACACATCAAACAAACACTTGTGTTTCTCACTCGCCGAGAATGAACGATAACACCAAGAGGTTCAAATTGTATTGCTCAGAGATTGCTCTTACATATCTCAAGAAACTTAATGGAGTTCTCAGTTACATTAAGTACCAACTTTGCATGAGATGTTTCTCCTTAAAGGGACAATACACCCAAAAATGTCATTTTATTGTGGTTTGGACCTCATCATTCTGTCATCTCACCCTCATGTCGTTTCCAAACCTGTATTACTCCTGCAGAAATAAGAATATATTTAATGATGAGTTCAAAACAACGTTGGGGCCCATTCACTTCCATTGTATGAACAAAAAAAACACTAAGATATTTTAAAAGACCCTTAAAATTCATTAATATTATTGATCTGACGAACTTTGCAACATCAACACTGTTATTGAACTGAGTTGAATCAACATTTAACTGACTTGAGAGACAAAAATACGTTCTAAGCATGTTTTTCTAACGTTTCACATTAAGTTATAAAAACTTATGGTTACACTATATTTCAATGGATCACTTTCCACTTTCTAAGACATTCTACTTCATACAGATTTATACGGACTATAAGTAACTTTGCAACTGCATGTCAACTAACTCTCTTTAGAGTATAACTTGACTGTACCAAACAGAGGAAAACTGAACATAACCCTGACATCAACCTTGTGCTTCAATAATAAAAAAGTCCAACAGAGCAGGGCAGGAGGAGGCTTAGATGGGGGATGCAGAGCAGGAACATGGGCAGGCAGGGCA